AGGATAAGTCTTCGCTCAATATAAAGTTAATTTAAGCATACAGACTCATGCAATATACAACCTAATAAAATTAATTAGTAAGTTACCGTAGTGAAAGTGTGTTGAAACCAGGATTCGTGATGCGTTTCCGCTGGCACCGCCAGAGTCAATTGCGAGAGTTGTTCAAGAATATCAAGTGTGGGCAATAAAAACGCTGTTTGTTTGGCCCGCATCAGTGCAGACACGTCGAAATCTGGCTTGCAAGACGATTCGGGAGGCGTATCCTGCTTCAAGGAGCCGTGATTGTCAGATATAGGACTACAGGATGTCGCTGAATTCAGTGGAAGCAGTAAGGAAGCTCTCGAAAGGCGGCGAAACTCATTCTCCAGAGTGCACATCTGTAAATGTGAAAATCTTTTTAAGTAGCTTGGCAACTGACAAAAATATTATGTAGAAAATCACCCAACCAGATCGAAGCAATATAGACCTGCGGATAATCAGGAATGCAGCAAAGTAAAGATGTTTGATTGTATGTAGAAGTCCTCGACTCACAGTCTTTCGGCCACAATTAACCTGTGGTAAGCGTTCATCTGTATTGCTGCAGACATTATCGGAGAAAGATTTCATACTTTACAAAATAGCACAAAAAATATATTTAATCAAGAGAAAAGGTAACTGGCTGAAATCCCAATCACTTTTTATGCACCTTTCCATGCAATCTTAATCAGGCATCCCATGATTTGGCTGAGTATCTTAAACTTACTCTACATGCTTGCAGATAAGTGAAGTTAATTTATGAACCGAAGGGGATTCAATGACAGTTATTTATTTACATAAATAAACTAGCGTATGACCCCCGGATGTTAACTCATGCCTAGATATGTGCTTTTGTCTATTGTGTATATGTAATGTTCATGTGATGAGAGATAGTCTTATCTAGACTCGAGGCTAGCCCAAAATGCTTTTGCTCAGAGGCTCTTCCTGCTCTCCATATAGCTCCCTCTCGTTAAGCCTATTTAACAAACATAAATGGTTCCAACTAAATTTCGTAGACTCATTCCTCCTATTCAGAATGTTGACTGATTTGTTAATTCCTATAGACTCCCTAATTTTAAGCTTTAGGATGAAGTCCCTGTAACCCGCAATCTAGTGTTTTGGACCAGTCAATTGAGCGCCCTGTATGAGCCATTTGTTCAGCAAGCTCAAATTTTTAGACCGATAGACCTTTATAAGTGGTTCTCTATTCGCATAACCTCTTCCATATGGGTCAACATATCTCCCTTACACAGACACTACCACATGAACACAAAACCTGATAGCAGCCTGATCTAGAAAATGGGTCCGAAAATTCTCTAAAAGGTAAAGTGAAAAGTGTTACTTTATCTTTAGTATATTTCACTTCCTCGGGTCACAAACTGACAAGAAGGCAAAATCAGTAACCGAGTAGAATCATCCATCTGTTTATCCTGCCTCCAAGAAAATGGAATGTATACTGCAAGGCAAGATTACGTATCGTGTACTAAAGAAGGACCCAACTTTGAAGATCAATGGAATATTACGGTACATGAGCAAATTGGAAGATAATTTTAGGACGTCACCGCTGCAACTACGAGTCCCTATGCGGGACCAGAAGTGACTATATTGCAATATGGTCACATGGAAGAGAAAATTGGAGAATTTCCTTAAGTTCATGAGCCAGATCGATGAAAGAATCAAGTTCATAATGGATGCAGAGGAAGAAAGGCGTTTGGCTTTCATAGATGTGGAGGTAATTCGCTCCACTAGGACACTCAAGAGGAAATTGTTCCGAATAATATTCAATTTCGAGTCTCATCGCAACTACGGAATGAAGATAGGAATAGAGGAGTATGGTCATCAGAAGACTACGACTAATGGACGTGATATTCTGCGATGAAAAATAGGAAAAATAGACTCGGATATAATTCGGTAACGGATATCCGAGAGAAGTTATACAAAGAAACATACTGATTGTAAAGAGCCGATAATAGGACGAGGATTATGAATGAAAGATAAAGATGGGGAAAGATTGAAAAAAGCAGATATGCCTCCCTTCATGAGAACTAGCTTAAAAACGACGGCTAAATTAAGAAAATTGAATATTCAGATGGTCACGAAAAAAAACATTTCACGAGTCTACCTTCGTAACATGAGGGTAGGCAAATTAAAATGCTCGGAACTTTATTGCATAACATGCAGTGTCTGCAGACAGAAATATATTGTCTAAACTGAGAGAAAAATCAGAATACGAAACAAGGAATATTAAAGGCTCTGTAGGAAAATAGATACTGAAAGATAAGAT